ATGGAAGCTCCAAGTCCACCCACCCCCAAACCCTTGCCCTGTGCATCTCCTCCATTTGGCTGTTACTGAGTTGTATTCTTTATAGCAAACCAGTAAATGTAAGCAAAGTGTTTTGCTGGGTTCTGTGAGCCATTCTAGCAAATTATCAAACCCAAGGAAGAGGCTGTGGGAACTCCTGATTTATAGCTGGTTGGTTAGAAGTATAGAAGGCCTGGACTTGGGTCTGAAATCTGAAGTGGGGGCAATCTTGAGGGACCGAACATTAACTAGTGGGATCTGACACTAACTCCTAGTAAATAGTGTTAAAACTGAGCCGAACTTCAGAACGCCCAATTGGTATTCGGAGAATTAGAAAATTGTTCACTATGGGAGAAACCCTTGCATCTGGTGTCAGAAGTGTTATGAAAATACAGGGAAAAAAAGATTTATTTTTTCTTTCAGCATCTGTAACCCAATTTTGTATAATTGGTCTTTATCTCACATTGTCTTTAAGTTAAGTAATGGTAGAGTCCTATCTGCAATTTATTCAAAATTGTATCTACAGAATTGAATAGTTTTTAACACAAACCCTTTTTGTAAAATACATTCTGCCTTGAGGTGGAAGTCCTCATCCCAGCTCTGGGAAAATTGATTGGGTCTGTTCTCTGGAACAGAATTTAAATGTGCACATTCCTAGTTTCCAGTCTTGGGGCAAAAGTCTAACACAAAATAGCATAAAGAAAAAAAAATAGAAAGAGGGATTAGGAAAGAAACTCAAACTGTTGTGTGTCAAGAGGAGAGGAACCTATACCCAATACTTAAGAGCATTTATCAGAACTAGAGGCACAGTTCTAGAGTCACACTGGCCTCAGGTGTGGCTTGATGTTCGGGCCCAAATTGCAGAGCTGAGACTGTTGAAAATTCATACTGATTCAGGACAAAATTGATCTTGAGATCTGAGTGAAGCTGAGCCTGAATAGTGTCAACAATAGTCTTTACTTAGATTTAAAAGCCTAAGTATTAAATGATACGCAGAGATACAGAAGATAGTGTTTGTCATTTTAAATTATTTTGTCAAGATGTAGTTCCAACTCATTAATGCATTTTATTTTTGGAGTGTCATTTGGTTTGGAACACATTGACTCCCCAGACGCTAAAACTGATGGACATGGTGGGAGTGAATACGAAGAATGTTTGAATGGAGCGAATTTAAGCAAACCTTAAATTGGGATGCAAGTCTAGAAATGAAAAGGAGTAAAATATGAAATTAAAAAACAGTTGCATGGAAAGTAAATAGGGGATGGATGCAAGTCAGAGACATTCTTTGCACAAAATTATTGTTCAAGACTGGTCCAGAAAGGGTTGATAGCTTTGGGATGGAGGCAATAGTTACATCGACCGTCCAGTCCAAGTCAGAAAACACAGCTCAGAAATGATATGCCCTGCGCTTCTGTCCCAAAGTAAATTAGAGCCTCAAGATTCACTCTCCCAAGACTGTTACAGACGGCCCCTGACCGTGACTCAACTTAGGATTTTTTAACTTTATGGGGGTGATTTATTATGATGGAGTTACATCTAGATAAATTGAAAATAACATAAATCAAAAAAGCACTTTCAACTTATGATATTTTCGATTTACAATGAGTTTATCCAGTTGTATTCCCATCGTAAGTCAGTCAAGGAACGTCTCTATCTTAGAAGGGGTAGAAAGAAGGGTGGGGGGAGAGTGTATCAGGGCAAAAACCCCTGACATTGGGCAAATTATTTAACTTTTTGAGGTTCCCATTAAATAAGAATTATTGCAATTTTGAGGGTGACTGAGAGCCTTTCTTCCCCTTAGTTATGAACAGATTAGTATTTTAAAACAAATCACCTTGTTACTGAAAAGGCCTAGGCAGACACTACAGACCCATTTCTCTTTGCCAAGTGAATTTGCCAAAGCTGATGTCCAGAGTCAGGCAGAGTTAGACTAGCATCGTACGTAGCCAGTGCCAGACCAAAGAATAATACTTGCTTCACGTAGGCACGTGGCTTCCCTTAGCCTTTGGTTAGCATTACAGGGATTCACACCGAACTAAAATTTTCAAGTTTCATTTATAATCTATAGTATATATTTTATTTTGTCAAGTATCAGCCATTTTGTGTAGGTATTTTTAATTAACAAAGTTATTTCCATATCCGTTATCTCTTTTGCTGGTAGCTTAAATAATTGTAATACTCCCTAAGATATAAATCCATCAATATCATCACATCTAAAATTATAATACTTTCATAAAATTTTATTTCATAATTGTACTTTCGCTATGAAATATTTATCATCTTTTGTTTTGTCCTTGGCTAATGGAAATTAAAATTTACTCATGCATCATAGTATCATTAGCCTCTAGGTACTTGCTAGTTCATTGTCTTATTGATGAAATCACCTTAGGACAAGGTCTCCATAACTATACCTCATTGGACACCTACAGGATAATTTTGCCTTTTGCTAAATTCCAATACATAGCAGATTGTTTTATAATACATTTCCTGTGTGTATCTCATTAAGGATAAGTGTTCTTTTATAACAAGTCAATTTTACTACATATTTTAGTTTATGCTTTATTACAGAATAACTTTGCCACCTGGCAAAGAGTGGGGTTTTAATCCCCATTTTTGCAGCACATTTTGTTCTTTTCTTAAGACCCCTTATGCTGAAAAGTGAAATGTTAACAATTTGTCATCGCCTCAGCAATCTTGTATTGATCTATTTGTTCTCCCTCTGCTCACTTTCTGTGAGTCTAAATTGCTTAAGTACTGAAAGCTCTCAAGGTAGTGACCTGAAATATTAACAGGTTACATCACCTCATTAAGCAAAAGAAACTGTTCTTATTCAAAGTCTATAGATGCTGACATTGCATTTATCCAAAAAATTATTAATATTTGCATGGAAGTGTAGTAAAAAAAGATACTGTGTATACCTCCAGATGGAGCATTCCTTAACTTTTCATTGGTTGTAACAACTTCAGTCCGTTATTGCCTTTTCCTTGAAAAATAAAGATTAATGATGCTAAAATGATATGTTTTAATATAATCAAGTTACACTTCTGACTACCTAATATGTTGATGATCTGGTACTTTTTTTCAGAAATAGCACAAGTTCATTTGAAGGAGATAGAAAACCCTTAAATAACAGGGCAATTATTATTTTAATCAATAGCAGTATTATATTTTAAATTAATCTTCAAAAGTCCCTGAAGCTAAAATTTCAAAAGTCATTAATCAATTAAGCAAAATACTACACAGTCTTTCAAAGCAATCTATCTCCTGAAGGTTGTTCAACCTGCCTTCTGAGAATGAAAATTTGACACTGTTTCTTCACTTTCACTGTGTAATTTTATTTTTCTTATACTAAGTGTAATTGTAAAAGGACAATTACCCAATATGTAGTGGCCCAATTTGTAAAAATAATGTAGTAATGTAAATATGAACATCAATTAAATCGTTCTATTTTGTTTTATTCCATTCAGAACAAAATTGTAAATCTGTAAAAAGGATGACTTTTCTTTATCAAAATCAAGGACTTTTCGTTTTCAAAATCACAGACTATAATAAATGTTGCTATTTTCAATTATATCAGGAAGAGTAAAATATACCCTTTTTGTCAGAAGGATCTGAGCCCTGTAGGTTGCTTTGACACAGAGAAGCAGCCTCAGTTTCCCGCCATGGTGCAAAGCTTCAGATAAGGGCTTTTCAGACACATCACCTGTTTCATTTCCAAGAGTAGAGCATATTGAGTCTGCTTTTCAGTCCTGCTAGTAATCAGACTATGATGTTCCTATCACAAACTAAAGCATTGATAATAAGACACAACCAAAGTCACACAGCCCTTCACCTTGTATAACTTTCATATCAATAACTTATTCATAATTTCCTCTCATCTGATATCCAATGCAGAGCTAATCTCTGTATTCCTGGCATTACCTTTAAAAGTTTTGCATTCAATGTCCGCCCAAACTGTATAAAAAAAAAACCTCCCTTCCTTCCTACTAAGACATCCAGTCTGTGATTCCTCATTGTATGTGTTCTTCCTTGCTGTAGCAAGTTAACCAACTGACTTTGTTTCACTATATGTATGTTCCTGATTGTCTTTATCTGATGGAATTTGCCAAAATTATTAAATGACCCCAGCAGCTTGCAAAATACACTCCTAAAATAGCAAATGTTAACTATTTAGAAATAAATGTGTAATTTAACTGAAATAAAATGGAAGAATGCATATAGTATCAAATTCAAACAGTTGTTTTTGAAAATAATAAAGAACTGTTACATGCTAGTAAATTTCTAAATACTAAAATTTGCTATCTACTCTACACCAACAAATACACTATTTTTTAGAAACAGTCTCATTCTATCGCCCTGGATAGAGCCCAGTGTAATGATCATAGCACATGGCAACCTCAGAACTCCTGGGATCCTGGACATATAGGCATGTGCCATGCACCATAAGGCACAGCTCATTTTTCTATGTTTGGTAGAGACCGGGGCCCACTCTTGATCAGACAGGTCTCTAACTCCTGAGCTCAAGCAATCCTCCCATCTCCCATCGGGGCCTCCCAGAGTGCTAAGAAAAAGGGCATGAGCCACCACACCCGGCCTCCTTTTACCATTTCTTAGCAGTGACGAAAGCTATCAGGCTGCCTTTGAATTCTACTTCGCAGCGTGCCCCATGAAACTGCTCTTCTCAGACAACACGTTTTGCCCTAAACTTTTTGCAACACTTCTGTATTCAAATATGTCTTTATTACCTCATACTTCCAGAATGCTCTTCCTAACACAAATTAATTGAGTTGACATTTTCAATTTGGAACATTTTAAGTACCACAGAACAGGAATCCTGGATTATTAATTATAAATGTGATTTTACCAAAGGAAAAATTATGTCACTTTAGAGCTTCTCAATGAATAGCATGAAGTGGTCATTTCAGATCTAGTTAAGACAATGCAAGTTTCAATCACTTTCTAATTTTCCTTAGAGAGGGGAAGTGCAAACATGAAGGGAAGAAGCATCTTGCCACTTACTGTGGTTCAGATGTGGTGTCCAGAGAAGTAGTTGGTGAGTAGATTACTGGAAAATATAGCACATGCCAAAGAATTTAAACTTGACTCTCAGGCACAGAAATAATATATCAATTTCTATAATGTGGAAGAGTATGCAAACCTGCTTATGCTGCTGCAAAGATCAAAAGTTTTCTAATAACTAGAGTTGTTTAGAAAATAAGATGGGTGAATTTGGTTGGAGGTCTCTTTCTTCCTAGAAGTAACTAAGTAGATATCTAATGCTTATTCCCCAGGAATTCCTTAAATGTAATTTCTTCTTTCAACAAAAGATGCAAGTTAATTTTCAAGTCCATGATCATCTGATATTCTCTGTTGTGATTCTAATAAACTAATCAGTGTGAGTATTAAGACAGACAAAATTGTGCCACCTTCATCAAGCAACGCGTTAACACATAACAGAAGCATTTTAGAGTTATACAAAATAGTCACTCCTTAGCTGTGAGAACATCTGCCACAGTGCCAAAGTGGCAGGACAATACGAGAAAAATTTAATATCTGTGATGTTTTTAAATATGAAGTTTTATTCTATCAAAAGACTTCTTTGCAAGATCATAGAAAAAGCATAAATTATGCAAATTATATCATAATAGTCTATATTATTATATTCTAATCTTAGATCAATTTATCTATCACATAATATCATTGGCAGCAAATATTTTGAATGCCTACTAAGGTCTAGGCACTACAAGATATTTTGCCATAGTATCACTAATCCACCCACCAACCTGAAAGGCAAACATTACCTCACTTCACAAATCACAAAACCAAGGCTCAAAAAGATTAAGATCATCACAGAGCTAATAAATGGCAGATTGAATGGTCTGTCTCACAGCCCTATGGCATACTCATATTAGTAGGCAAACCACTTAATTGCTTAAAGATAAAAGCATTACTTAATTTTTCAAAACATTACTATATTTACTAAGTAAGATATTAAGATATGATTCTTGGCCTCTTACTGTCATCAGGGACGAAATTTTCATGTTTGTTTAATATTCTTTTTTCCAGTTACAAATGGGAATATCCTTGGAGCTCTAAAATCAGTTGTTCAAATGCAAGCTTGACTAATGCCTCTTTTTGGAAATATCAGCAATAACATTGGAAAAAGTGCTATATATAAATTAATAGAAAATGAAATAAAATGTTACAATAATTTTATATTTACATTAAAATATATATTGAAATAGCTAAGGAATTTGATAAAGTTGGAATAAAAATGTTAGACATTTCTGATGAAGATTCTTTAAGACTGACTTAATAGAATGGCAGCTGCTGTCACTTCCAATTTTCTAGGCTGCGAATCTTCCATTTTCCTTAGTAGTCACAACTTAAACTGTCATCCTGTCTGCAGTTCTCCAGTTAGCATCCTTTTTTTTTGGCTAGTCCTCTGAAGAGTTTGGTTTTCTTATAATCCTACTTATCAGGAGTTAGAATGATATGTCCTGGATTCTACTGTAGTTTAGCCACCTATGCCAGTTGTCCACATTACTAAACACTTAAGATATTTTATAAGAAAAAAATACAGTAAATGATGAAATAGACTTGATTCACTGTGGTTGTTATAGACTATTGCACTTGCAGAGATAATAAATATTATTTTAAATATAGATAGATAGCAGCATTATTTTCTGGTAGTGAAATACTTTCTGTCTCTACTCCTGGAATCAAGGGTAACTACAAAATAGATGGTGCGCACTCACATGCAAGAGTCAAGAGAATAAAAGTAAGTATCCTGACATGGCTTTTACTTTCATAAAAGGAAATTTTATTTAAAATATAATATAGAGAATGAAATTAAAGAAATTATTTGGGGATTTGGAAATACCTGGGGAAGTTAAATAATTTAACATAGTTTTGTCACACAAATGTTTAACAAGAGACAATTTACTGAACAGTCAAAGAAACCAATGTAAAGAGGTGACAAATAGTTTCTAAAGAACAATCTATTAAGTATTTATAAATGGTCTATAGCTATAAAACTTAGGTGCTAGTCAAAGAGTTGGATAACATTGTTTGCAAAACAAAAAAGTATGCATAGATTTTAGACTGGGTAAGCTAAATTAATACACGATTAACCAAAAATATAATTTATTGTACAATTAACACAACTGATTATTCTAATCTTCCATCAGGAAAAGAGAAAGTAAAGTCTTGGGAATGGTTAAATACAGTTTTATAAGTGATGGCAGGGTTGTAGGAGAGGGAATAGGAGGAAAGAATAGAAAATTTAGTAAAATAGGAATATTATCTATTCCTCAAATCAACTCCAAACAAAATTGGTGAAAGAGTTTTATTTCTTGAGGCAGGTTACAAAAAGTAAGGCAAGTTACATGGATTTGATTAGGTCATCACTAAAAGGATGGAAATATATATTTATGTGGAGTATTGTAGGAAAATTAGTGAAAATTAGCTGAGATTTCAACAATTGTTTTAATACTAAAAATTTTCTATAAGATCAAGTTATCTACTTCTCATGTCCTCACAATAATATCCAAACTCCTTTTTGTTTACCAGGTGTGGTGGCTTTGCAATGTGCAAACTTGGCTCAGGTCAACTGCCTTGCCCAGAATTCGCTTCCCCGTATGTTGTTGGTTAGGATCTTCCATGCGAGAGGGTTGAAGAGAAGCTGCCGCCATTTCGTGGCTCACTCGCCTTGCTGCTTATCTGCCGGCTCATCTTGTTGGGGTAAGACAGTCACTGGGCCTGTCTTTCCCTGGATCTTCCTTCAGCTTGTCCAACTCCTGGGCCAGGTGTGTGTTTCATTCCATGACAAACGTCTCCCATTTAATTCCATGATTGAAAGATCAGAAACGAGACTCAGGTTCCAGCTCATGGATTATGGGTTCCAGCTTCCTCTTGTTCTTTCTCACTTTATAAGACAGGATCTTGTCTTCCTGGCTACTGGCCAGGTGGGTTTTCAATCGAAATCTCTATCAGAAGACGTGAAGATAGCTTAGCAGTTGAGTTGAACAGTTTTAAGTGTTTTTAGCAAGGTCTGAAAAGTGAATAAAGTCAAATCCCTATAATTAATCTGTGTTGTGTGTGTGTGTGTGTGTGTGTGTGTGTGTGTGTTTGCTAGAACTGCCGCAAGTAAGTACCACAAACTAGGAGGTTTAAACAAGAGAAATTTATTGTTTACAGTTCTGGAGGCTGGAAGTTTAAAATCAAGGAGTCTAAAATCAAAGTTGGTTTCTTCTGTAGGCTATAAAAGAGACTGTATTCCATGCCTCTCCTTGGGTTGGGTTGTTTGTTGGCAAATTCAGCATTCCCTGGCTTGTAGAAGAATCACTTCTCTTTGACCTGCTTTCATGCTCATATGGCATTCTCCTTGTGTGCATGTCCCTGTGTCAGTATTTTCCCTTTTCATAAGGACAACAGTTACATTGGATTAGGGGCTCATTCTACTGCTGTATCACCTCATCTTAACTAATTACATTTGTAACTAACCTATTTACAAATAAATTCACATTATGAGTACCGGGAATTAGGACTTCAACATATGAATTTTGGGGGAGAGGTAATTTGGCTCATAATAGTCTGTATGTGTACAACACATACATATCCACAAATATACATATGTATGTACACACACACAAACATACTCTCACATACATATATATGCTTTCAAACAGACACATACACCCACACTTCTTAGTGGTTCTGCTTCTCTTATTCAATCTTTGATTAAAGGCCAACTATATCATATATTTCCACATATCCATGCCTTTGTCCAAGCCAGAGATATCTTTCTGCCATTTCTTTCCTATATAGCATCTAGTCTTATTCCCAAGTCACATGCCACCTATAGTATATTCCTTCCTATTCACTATACTGGGTCAACATTGGGGGAATAATTAATTATAGTGTGTATATATTTATAGTATAAAATATAATTATTCAGGCTGTCAACAGTATAAATAAATTTTCCTAAAATAAGGCAATAATCCAACATTGTTTCCAACCTTATTGTCAGTTTTTGTAGGATAAAAAATTGATTTATTTTTATGTTCATAGCACTTTCTGTAGATCTTAGATACCACGTACTGAATTAAATATAACATGGACCAATCAAGTAGTTTATAAACTTCTGATTAAGTAATTGAAGTCATATCACTTTATGTCTAGATTGTGATTAATGTTTTTACAGGCACTTTCAAAGATTTATATCAGGATCCTAGCCTTTGTTCTGATGCTATGTAATAGAGCCTGTAAAAAAATAGAGACAGAGCCAAAATCTGTTTTTCTCATACTCTCTTGTAGCTAGAATTCAACACGTTATTTTACCAAGCTAATATACTCATATGTATAATATGATGTAACTTTTACAAGCAAAAAGATTGGATCTTTGGAAAGCATGAATGGTACAGAAATGCGGTTCCCCTCAGGAAGCTGATGGGGCTTATAGCATCTACTCCCTGCTGTCACAGGAACTGAGCAAAAGCAGTGCTGTAGTGTGGGAAGGCATTTCCTCTGGATGGTCTGTTTCTAGTTGTGTAACATTCAAGTTTGATTCTTTGTCAAGAAGAATTTCAGAACTATCTAATATCTTTCATTAAATCTTACTCTGCTCCAACTTGTTACATTAAACTCTTATTTCCTGTAACTAAGAATCCCGAAAGATGATCTGTGACAAGAAAATTTTCATTGTCAATGATCTGAACCAAGAGACACAGATACTCTTCCAGATGACTTAGATAAGTGTTGTGGATATCTGTCTATCTATCTATGTTCAGAAACACCGGTTCATATTCAAGAGCAGTTCCCAGGAGAAGTTGTACAAGATAAAGAAGAAACAAATTTGCAGGGAAATGTAGAAAGAGGCAAAAATGTAGTATGAGCAAAACTATAGTCTTCAAGAGACAGAGTAAAACATTTGCCTTACTTATCTATTTCATTTTCCACAGAACAAGTTTTATTTAGCTATTTGAAATTTTTCATAGGTAAGAGTATAACATGTCCTTAACACACTCTAAGTAATGAAATGCCATATTCTAATGTTAGCTTTAGTGACCTATGACCTTACAACCTGAAGTACCTGGACTGAACTATTAATACATCATTGATTACACCATCCTGACTCACGAATAGCAGGAAGCTATATGAGATTTTCATGTTTCTGTACTTTACAACTTAACTCCAATACACATATTGTGTATACAAAGGACAATTTTACTATTTCTGATAATGAAGAGAGACTATCTTTCTTGGAGTTCACATGGATATTAATTCCAGATGCATGGGATAATTTTTCTTAATAGAGAAATACTTATTTTCTAAAACCATTTTATATTCTCTATTTTAGCTCAAGATAAACATGTCATGCCATTAGGAAAAAAATCCCACATTATTTTAAATGCCTCTACTTGTTAAAAGAAAAAGTAGAAATAGAAATAGAAATGGAAATATAACCCATGCATTAAGAGTATAAATATTAAGTGAATTGGGATATATATTCATAACAAGATATTATATATAATCACAAAAATGAATAAATTACCACTATGCAATGGCGTGGATGAATCTTAAAAACATAATGTTGACATTATGGAGGAATATGGTATGATCCATTTGCATAATAGTGAAAAATAGGAAACATTAAATCACACTGTTTGGAGGAACATAGAGAAGTGGCAAAACTATGAAAAAGAAAGGAAATTATTGTCATAAAATTAGCATACAGTACTTCTGGCAGAGAGGAAGAGTGGATGAATTAAAAAAGGAAACAGAAGCTTCTGGGTGCTAATAATTTTCTATTTCTAACCTGGGTGGTCACTGGATATTTACATAAATGTTTGCTTTGGAAGCATATTTTATGCAACTTTCTGTATGTATTAAATGTTAATTAAAAGTATTTATTTTTGCAAAGAAAAAGAACTTCAATTCCTTGATTCCAAATATGTCCTACACATGTTAACACCTAGAGCAGGCATCCTCAAACTATGGCCCGGGGGCCACATGAGGGTGTTTTTGCCCGTTTGTTTTTTTACTTCAAAATAAGATATGTGCAGTGTGCATAGGAATTTGTTCATATCTTTTTAAAATCTATAATCCGGCCCTCCAACGGTCTGAAGAACAGTGAACTGGCCCCCTGTTTAAAAAGTTTGAGGACCCCTGACCTATAGTATTATGAAAGATTTATTTTAGTCAAAACTTCAACTACAGATTTTCTTTTTAATTTTGATTTTTGAAAAGTAAACATTCTCTCATGCCCTCTTTGCTGAGGCACCGGTGGTCTTAGTTTTCACCATGTGCTGCTTTGGGTGGAGCCCCCTGGACAGGTGCTTTCTGGAACACCTGTTGCGTCGTCTGTCTCTGCTTAGCTTCCTCCCACGGCACTGGGGCTACCCAGGGCTCCTTCCCCCTTCACCCTGCTTCAGACCAGGCTGATTCCCTCCCCTGAGAGCCACGTTCCAGACAGTGAGGAAGGGGTTCCGTGGCCTTCCTCCTTCAGCTCCACACACACCCCAGCCTCTCTGGGCGTTCGGCGGGGTCTGTTCTTTCTTCTTGCTCACATATCCCGTGGCTAGGATCAGCAGATGCTCCTCTGAGGAATGAAAAACCCCGGTATTGGAGATGCATAACCTTTCCCAAATTCAGAAAAGGTACATGTCAACTCTTGACATCATCTCTCATTTAATGCAAAAATTGTGTTTGGCAACTATGTTTTTCAAAATATATGATGAGGCTTGGAGGTGATTTCTCTGTTTCACTGGAAATTGGAACTCACACTCCCTCTTTTAATCTCTTAATTGATTTAGTCATTTTTGTTATATTTCAAAGGACAGAAAAGAGTCACAATACCTTTATGGCAAAAAATTTAACTGAAAACCTCAAAGTCTGAGAGAGGATCATTATTCCCCTTTCGTGATGAAACAGATGCTTAAAGTTTAAGTAAGTTAATTAACATCACAGCCAATAAGTGGCAGAATTAGAGCTCAAAACCTAAGTCTATCTTCACAGTCTGTGCTTTTTATTACTATGCAGAATGCCCACCAGGGATTGAGTTAGCACGTTAGAAGACAGGAGGCTACATTCATCTTCGTCTGCATTACTGGCACATAAAAAGATTCTGTGATCACCCCTGCATTTCTAGTGCCCAGACTGGTAAAGGCTTAGCTGTGATTTGTAGAATAAAGTAGAAATGTAGCAACTCAATCCATGTGACTAACGTAGTGTTTAAACGACCGGGCACACTTAAAAGAAGAGACTATGCCCATGCCACTTGTACTACATAAGTAAATGCTTTGGTTAATTAGAAACCTGGGTGTCATTGTGACCTGTGCTTGTTTCTCCCCTTCCATAGCCAACCTGCCAAACTGTGTCAGTTCAGTAGGCTAATACCTCTCCTAACGCTGGGATTCACTCAATCACCATATATACCTCTCCCAATCCAGGTGACATTCATTTCCTGATTAAATTCATGCAACTGCCTAAATTCATGCAACTGTCTATTGGATCTCACTTTGTTTCTCTTGCCTGTTGCTTACCAACTCACTCTTCATGTTGTAGCCAGATGGATCTTTCTGTTTTTCTTTTTTTTTTTTTTTTTTTTTTTTGAGACAGAGTCTTTGTTGCCCGGGCTAGAGTGAGTGCCATGGTGTCAGCCTAGCTCACAGCAACCTCAAACTCCTGGGCTCAAGCCATCCTTCTGCCTCAGCCTCCCGAGTAGCTGGGACTACAGGCAC